ACCACTCAGCCATAAAGTAACAAAGAAAATTACCAGAGACGGACAATATAGAATGATAAGGGTTAATCCACCAATCAACCATATAGCAATCCCAAATGTGTATACACCAAACAACAGAGCAGTTAAGAGGATAAAATGATAAGCTAATTGAGTAGGAGAAAACATCTGCAAACCACATATCTGACAAAGGACAAGTATGTAGAAAATCTAAAGAACTCTCAAAACTCAACAGTAAAAAAGCAAACAATTTAATTAGAACATGGGCAAAAGACATGAAGAAACATTTCACCAAAGAAGATATACAGCTGGCATATAAGCACATGAAAAGATGTTCTTCATTAGCCGTTAGGAAAAGTTAATTAAAACTACAATGAGATATCAAAACACATCTATCACAATGGCTAAAATTAAAAAATTCTAACAATACCAACTGCTGTCAAGGATATGCAAAAACTGGATCACTCATACATTACTGGTGGGAATGTAAAATGGTACAGCCACTCTGCAAATCAGTTTGGCAATTTCTTATAAACTAACCCTGGCAACTACCATACAGCCCAGCAACTGCATTCCTGGCATTTATCCCAGAGAAATGAAGACTTATTTTCAAAGAATCGTACGTGAAAGCAGCATTATTCATAATAACCAAAAACTGGAAATAGCCCGGATGTCCTTCAATGGGTGAATGGTTAAACAAACTACGGTAGAGCCATACTCTGGAAACTACTCAGTGGTAAACAGGAAGTAAATACTGATATACACAACAATCTGGATGAATCTCCAGAGAATTATGCTAAGAGAAAAAAAGCCAATCCCAAAAGTTTACATATTATACGATTCCATTTATATAACATTCTTGAAATGACAAAATTTTAGAAACAGAGAACAGATTAGTGGTTGCCAGAAACTAAGAAAGGGGTAGGGACAGGAGGGAAGTAGGTGTGGCTATAAAAGGGTAACACGAGAGGTCCTTGTGGTGATGGAATTATTCTGTATCTTGACTATACTAATGTCGATATCCTGATTGAAATATTGTAGTATAGTTTTGCAACATGTTGAGAGGAAATTGGGTAAAGCATTCCCATGATGGCAACTTAAAAAGGTTATCAGGAGGAGGGGACTCAGAGCCTACCTCCTACTAGGCAATATTGTGTGCAACACCCTCTCTACTCTCTTCAACCTTCATGCCCCAGCCTACAAACCCCCTAAAAACATCACTCACACAGACACAACATCTTACTCTGCCAACTCCTACTTATTCTTTAAGATCGGGATTTAAGTATCTATCACATTCTCCAAAAAGCTTCTCCTTTTTTACTTCACCATCCTGGCTTGGATTAAATACCCCTCTTTGGTACTCCCATTATACTCTGTACATCCTATCACTTTGGTATCACATTATCTTTTAGTATTAGTTTATATGTCTGTCTCCCACACTAAGCTATAAACTTCTTAAAACAAAAACTATTGTCAAATTCATTTCTGTGCCCTCTGTACACAGCTTAGTGCCTGATACAAGAGATACTAAATAAATGTTTGGTGTAAGATAAATAAATCATCTGTGAAGGATACTATGAAGTTACAAACATTTAAACACTTCCTTAATCCAAAAATATATAATTCTGGAGTTTTGCTAAGACCCAGGACTATCTAGAATACCCTACCCTCCGTGGCTAAGGAGCAAAAGAGCAAGAAGTTCAGTTGTTCATTTGTGCCCACAACCAGACACAGAAGGACAGGAGGGATGGTCAGGACAAGCACATTCTTACCTGCCATCTCTGATGAGCTCTTCAGCTGATTCAATCAGCTTATTAAGCTTCTTTACTTGTTTATAGTGTGCAAAACACCTTTTATGATCCTGGTCAAGTTTAAGACATTCACGAACTTCACTGTTTATGTATTTAAAAAAAGGAAAATACCCCAGGTCAAACTAATCAATGAGTAGTTTTCCATATTAAATACAGAAATCACAATAAAAGTATTTTTTGTTTGTAACAATTAAACAAGACATACTGGGACTTAATAATTTACTATATACACTTTTATGTATGACACTGTACTATGCACACATTTATTAATTCAAATTAAAATGACTTATGTAGAGTTATACATTAAACACTCCATTTTGTTTCTGCAAATATTAACAGCTACCCTGTTTATTTTCATAAACAGCTTCGTGAAAATAAACTATGCGGAATTAGAATAACTTGGGGATAAAGGGAGATAACACAAAATATACAAAAATATAGAATACAAAAACAACCTTAACCACAATAATTTTATTAATTTAATGTTAAAATTTTAAAAGATGGGGTTATTATCTTACTGCCAACAGTAAAACAAAGATCAGATGTGTATGTCACTAGAACTGACCTGAGGGACAGTTCATGGTCTCCTAGTTGGTAGTACAGTGTGCTGATTTTATAAAATGCCTCAGTATTATCATTCTTCAATTTTGATGCAGCTTTTAAGTCACTTATAGCTTTCCTAGGTTCCCCTTCTTTTATAAAACATTCAGCCCGAAGTTCTCGTAGTTCTGCATCCCAAACACAAACCTTGAGAAACAAAAGAACTAGACTTTAAGAAACAAACAATAAATTACGCACATTCATTGTTGTATCCCACGTATTTTTATCTACATAATTATCAACATAAAACATCCTCAATTAATGTGATGACATATAGTGTAAATAGTATTTAAATGTCTGATACAATTTAAATGTGACAAAAATGTTGTGGCAAAATAATTTCTCAAAGGGTATCTTAAATAAATATTAATGGGGAAAGAGATATATATATAACAAGGTCCTTTTCCTATCTGCTTCAATTACATAATTCCAAAATGTTGAAAGTAAGAAAACACACCATTTACTATTACAGGGTTGTTTCCAGTGAAGCACATTTGAAGAGAATATTCTATTATCAGATTTTTGTGCTTAATCTACAATTCTAATTTCTAGTCAAAAATAAAATCCAGGCTCTAAATTAGCAAAATATTTTAATTCTACTAATAACTAAATGAAATTCTTTTATAAAATGTCACTTCCTTGAAATTAAATCCTCAAATCAAAAAAAGAAAGAAAAGAAAAAAACAATGTGAGAAGTAAGGAGGCTGAGGCTTCATCATTTCTATTTTATCAAAAAAAAAAGTCCACAAGTTTTAGGAAACACACTAGTATTCTTCAAAATATAAACCCAAAAGCTCACCAATAAGGCCTATGGAAATATCTTTACACAGTTCTTAGAGCTGTTCTAAAGTCATATCAACTTTTCACATTCACAAAGATGGCAAAATCGACATTATACACAAATTAAATATGGACAATAAGCTAGATCAAAATAGCCTACTACTGGAAGGCAAAAATTAAAACTTTATATTTCCTTAATAAAGTATTAACAATTTAGTAAAACATGAATTCCACTGGACTATATTGCGATATCCTCTGTAAAATTATCAAAGAAATGTCTATTCTATAAATATCAAGTTTACTGCCAAAATTAATTGAAATTGTATATCAAAGCTCTATGAAGTCATAAATAAATATGAATTATGGCTGCTTCCATTTGAATATTTTAGTAGACTTTCTTCTTAAATCATTTGTCATTAAATCCTTCAGAGGCAAGGAAACCTAGATTTAGAACCCTCTGGATCCTATCAACTCTTTATTTGCCTTCTTCCCTAGAAACTTTTCACTCTAAACACTCCTCTTTCCTCTCAAACATCATTTTTCCTTCTTCTTCAACCAACTCTTTCATCTTTCATCCTGTTATATAACCACTAGAGTTTCTTCCCAAAAAAATATAAAATCAAACCAAAACAGCAAAGCACTGTATAAAAATATGTAACTCTCACTCCATAGCACATTCAGTACATTTATTGAAAACTTCAGTCCAAATTTTGTTCTATATAAACACAATCACTCCAAGGACCAATATGATTTTATTTTGTCTAGATTTTTTGCGGTATATAACACATCATAGCGTATAAACATGCCTCACAGTAAAAAGTAGTTAATTGTTAGGCTGGTCAGCTGCAGTATCTCAGAAACTTACCTCTAAAATCTTATCAAGGAAGGTTATAGCAGCAGTATAATCTGCACTTTCAAAAGCATGAAGTGCTTGTGAACGCAAACGTTGCATTTCATCAGATTTTATGAGTTGAGACTGGGCTTCCTTTTCTTCATTTTCACTTGGATTAGATTTGAGCTATAAGAATAATAAAAAATTAAATTAAGCAGTATTTTCAATCTCTTAAATCTAATACCCGTAATATACACAAACATCCAACCATTCCAAATACTTAAATTAATTGGGGGAAAAAGAGTGAAGAGACACTGGCAAAACTGGCTTGTCTAATGACTTGCTTCACCATAGGAAGCATCAGTGAAGGCATCTTTATATCCACTGACATGGTCCACAAGAGTGGTGGATCGAGACTCAAAAGACCTGGATCCCCCAAACTTACCAGGAAGCAAATATATCTTGGAATGTGAAAGAGTAGAGAAGAATGGAGTAAGGAAAGCACCTTGCTCACTTTCTTACATATAGTTCTGCAGAATAAATTAATTTGAGGTTTGTTTATTTTGCCTTCTAGTTATATTTCCTTAGTGTTTATTTTTAAGTATAAAATAATTGTATCAAAATAATGAAAAATATAAGGAAACAAAGGAAGGAGGCAGCTTTTTTAGAGGTTATAGAATAAGACTGGACACCAGAGGGGTTAAAGTACAATAGGAAAGGAAGAATTTATGAGGAATATAAGAGAGTAACACCTCACTAAAAGGTTCATGATGTGGTTTTAAGAGATCTGCACATTGCCTCTTTTTAAAATAACTTTATGAAGGTATAATTTATATACCATAAAATTCACTCATTTCAAGTGTATGATTCTAAGATTTTTTTTAATAAATTTTACCATGTTGTATAATCATCGCCACAGTTTTAGACCATTTCCCCAATAAGATCCCTTGTTTTTGCCTATAGTTCAACCTACTCCCAACACCATGCACATGGACTCTTAACAATTTCTTCCTCCAGATGGAAAAATCTTAAGCTTAATGTCTCAGAAAAACCAGGTGCCTACACTGGCGGAAAGGGGGACGTTTTTAAGATTATGGTTTATATGTAACAATAGTTGAAATCTAGTATTCTTACTAAGATGGGAATTGTAATTGATTGGGTTCCAATTTTGGGTGAGGTACGACAAAGGAAGTTAATTCTAGAAATCTCTCTCATCAATGGGTCAATCATACTCCACCCCCTTTTGATGGCTTCATTTTTAAAATATACTCCCCACTACTCACCTGGTGGGAGAGAACACTCCAAATGAGAAACTCCATGAATATTATTTCTTAGTGAGGGCTCTATATTTGTCCATTTTGTTTTTTTAGAATATTTTAGGTATTCTATTTTGTTTGTTTTAACCCTTGACTTTTGAAGAATAGGTCTCAAAGTATTCGTAGGTAATTAAGAATTGGTAACCTCCGCTCGCTCCAGGGGAGGACTTTCCCTGAATGACTGAATCATCCAGTTTTAAGGGTGTTGCTCTGGAGCCATGGCTTGCTTGTTTATGTTTTATCATCCTTAGGGTGGTCTTGAATATTTCTGATAGACCACACTGGAAAGAGTATTAATGTGTGCGCACTGTCACTTTGCTGAGAACTTATTTCCTATATGTATGGTACTGATCCCTTTGTACAGAATGTATTAGAGACTACCTCTTCTGGATGGACTTTGCATCGTTTTCTCCTAAACTTTAGAGTCTAATTTCTTCCAAACAATTCATCCCTGTTGGAAGGTGAGAGGAGAAGCCCTAAATCTCAAGAGTGAGGATGGAGGGCTCAGGATGTGCTGGGTGTCAGACAAAAGGAATGGGAGAGAGGGAGGGAGCTCAGGTCATTGACGCCTCGTTAGGGCCAGGAAGGAGGTGGGGAAGAGAGAAAGAGGATTCTTCCCAGGAGGCAGAAAAGGAGTCAGAGAGACAAACTAAGGACTTGCTTAGAACCCTGGAGAGTTTCAAAAAGGGTTAAGTGAGATTTGTATTCCTACTATGAGGCTGATGACTCCTCCAGCCGTCCCCTCATGTTCCAGGACATCTGCATGTGGAGAATGACCTGCTGGTACTTCCCTCGCTCCTCCTTTTTTCATGTTTTTGAGATCCCCACTTCTCTTCCTTGGGGCTTTCACATTTCTGACCCTTTCAGCCAAACCTCTTCCTATGACACTATTTTATTTCTTACTTCTCACCATGTACCCTGGTAACTGAGCCTCTGGATAAAAACCTGTAATAGCTATGGGATGGGGGCATGCTGAAAGAGATGACCTGCCCTCTCACATGACTGCACCTCTACTTCTAGAACCTCAAATGAAAACAATGGCTGGCAGGTGTGGTGAGCAGCCTTCTCCTCGCCTTTCTGTAACGCTCTCTCTCCTGGAGTGTGGGCTGGACCTGGGGACTCCTTTTAATGAACAGAATATGACAAAAGTGACTGGATGTTACTTCCTTGATTAGGTCACAAAACACTGTGACTTCCATCTTGCTAGCATTCTCCCTTGCCATCTCACCTGCCTGCTCTGATTAAGCAAGGTGCCATGCTGTGAGATGTTTTATGAGAGGCCCATGTGAGAAGGAGCCAAGGGAACCCTCTGGCCAATGGTCTAACGGCTCACGGCTCACGAGGAACTGAATCCTGTGAACAACCAAGTAAGTTTATGAGCAGATCCTTTACTGGCTGAGCTTTCAGATAATGCTGCAGCCCTATTAACACCTTGAGTGTCGCCTGCGGCCCTGGAACAGAGGACCCAGCTAAGTCACGCCCAATTCCTAACCCCATAAACTGTGAGAAAAAGCTGCTACAGTTGGGTAATTTGTTATCCAGCAACAGACAACTAATATAGTAGGAACACAGGACAGAAGTTGTACCATTTCTCAGTGGCTAGGTTGTAAATATTTCTAAGCAAATTTTGTGCTATTAATGTTTTAAAATAGAGTCTAAATGAAAACTTCACTAATTAGGCTCTAATACTGACTTAATCACTAATGAGCTACATGCTATCTGCATTTTCTTGCCAACAAAAAGGGGATAATAATACTTACACCCTCTAGAGCAGCGGTCCCCAACCTCTTTGGCAGAAGAGACTGGTTTCAAGGAAGACAATTTTTCCACAGACCAAGGGTGGAGGGGTAGGGTGTCATCGGTGGGGACAAGATGTATGGAATAGGAATGGAACTCAAGCAGTGATATGTGGCCCATCTTCTAACGGGTCATGGACCAGTACTTGGCCTCAGCCCAGAGGTTGGAAACCACAGCTCTAGAGTTATCACTGAGAAATTTAAAAGATATTTATGTAACACATGGCAAGTACTCCAAAAAGTGCTAATAAACACCTTAAAAAGATGCTCAACTTATTTCCCATTATGTTATCTATCAGCCAACTTTTTTTTTTTTTTGGAAACAGTGTCTTGCTCTGTCACCAGGGCTGGAGTACACTGATGTCATCATAGCTCACTGCAACCTCAGACTCCTGAGCTCAAGTGATCCTCCTGCATCAGCCTCCCAAGTAGCTGGGACTATATAGGCACACGACACCACACCAAGCTAATTTTTCCATTTTTCGTAGAAGCAGGTATCACTCTTGCTAAGGCTGGTCTTGAACTCCCAGCCTCAAGTGATCCTCCCAGCGTGGCCTCCCAGAGTGCTAGGATTACAGGCATGAGCCGCCTCTCCTAGCCTATCAGCCAATTTAAACTGGGTACCCTCTATTACAGTTACAGCGATTAAGATCCTAGAATAATAGAATTTTAATTTGACTCCTCTGAGGTCAAAATAAAATTAAGACTTTGGCCTAAAATACACGTAACTGCTTATTCCTCGAGAAATTAATGTTTCTAATGCAATTAAACTTAGTTATGGTTTTGGGAATAAGTACCACATATTTAAATTTTTCATTTGATATTATTTGTTATAGAAGAATATGTAATGCTTGAGATATATGCAGCATTCTCCAGCAACTTCCATAATATGCCTTCACATATTCTTTCTGCAGTCTTTGTGAAGGACACTATACAAAAATAATACTAATTTGAATGGTCACAAGAAAAAAACAAAAAGAACAATTTTTAAAAACAATTATATACAAGTGAGGGGATGGGTGATTGAATTAAAGCACTCTAAGATCCTTGTGTTTTGGTTACCTTATTAAGCATACCTGAGGCAATGACTAAGAGTAGAAGACACAGTATGTTTAACAGTGCAGGAAGGACAGACTAAGGAAGGAGAATCTCGATCAACTGGGGACGAGAGAGAGCAGCGGGGAGAGAAGAGTGAACTGACAGAAAAGAAACAGTTGAGTAAACAGAACCCAATAGAAATATATACAAAAGACATAAAGTGGCATTTCTCACACTAACCAAGTGAGCAAAAATTATACTGCCTGTTCACACCAAGTGTTGCTGAAGATGTGTAGCACCTAGAACACATCTATGCTGTTGGTGGGAATATAAATTCACACAGCTACTTAACGGGACAGTGCCAAATTGCTCTGCCCGTTAAAAATACCCATAGCCTTCAAAGTAGCAACCACCCTCTGAGGCCAGATACTCTACAGCAGTGATTCTCAAAGTGTGACCCAGGAAACCCTGGGAGTCCTTCATGCCCTTTCAGGGGTCTGCAGGAATAAAAGCATGTATGGCTAGAAAATAAAGAATCCACTGAAAGGGCAAGATAAACCAATGGACATTATCGTAAAAGAGAATACTAAAAATTCATTGATGAGGTTTCAGAGTCCATGCTGCAACTGACCCCTATGATCATTAGTGGAGTTTTGGTGGAACATCAAAGAACAATGCTCATAATTATCTAAAAATAGTCTTCCTTTTTCAAATGCTTATCTGTGAGGCTGCCACATTATCTTCAATATACTTCAATCAAAACATAAATCACAACAGATGGAATACAGAAGCAAATATAAGAACCAAGTTTTCTTCAATTAAGCCACATATTAAAGAAATTTGCAAAAATGTGAAACAATACCACTCTTAATAATACTAAAATTTTTGTTTTTGAAAATAGTTATTTTTACACAAAAGTTATTTATATTAACATGAATTAACTTAATTAAAATGTATTTCTTAAATTAATTTCCAGTATAGTAAATACTGATAAATCTCCTTGGAGTCCCCAATATTTAACACTCCAATGAGATCC